CTGGAAAAGGTCAGTTTTCATTACAATCCCAAAGAAACGCAATGTTAAAGAATATTCAAACTATCACACAACTGCGCTCATTTCACATACTAGCAAGAAGTATGAAAAGTGTTAATCACTTAGTCGTGTCTGATTCTTTGCGACCCCGTGGACTGTGGCCCACCAGGATCCTCTGTCCATGGAATTCTCCAGACAAGAACACTGGAGTGGGTAGCCATTCCCCTCTCCAGGGGATCTTCCCAACCCAGGGATTTAACCCAGGTCGTCTGCACTGCAGGCAGATTCTTTACCATCTGACCCACCAGAAAGGACCACATGCTAGCAAGGTAAGGCTCAAAATCCTTCAAGCTAGGCTTCAACAGTACATGAACCAAGAACTTCCAGATGGAAGCTGGATTTAGAAAAGGCAGAGGAACCAGAGATCAAATTGCCAGCATCCTTTAAATCTTAGAAAAATCAAGAGAATTCCGGAAAAACACCTACTTCTGCTTCACTGACTACACTAAAGCCTTTGACTGTGTGGATCACAACAAACAGTGGAAAATTAAAGAGATGCGAATACCAGACCACCTTACCTGCCTCCTGAGAAACCTGTATGCAGGTCAAGAAACAACGATTAGAACCAGATATGACACAATCAGTTCAGTTCAGTCACTCAGTCGTGTCCAACTCTTTGCGACCCCATAAACCACAGCACGCCAGGCCTCCCTGTCCATCTCCAACTCCTGGAGTCCACCCAAACCCATGTCCATTGTGTCGGTGATGCCATCCAACCATCTCATCCTCTGTCATCTGCTTCTCCTCCTGCCCTCAATCTTTCCCAGCATCAGGATCTCTTCAAATGAGTCAGCTCTTCGCATCAGGTGGCCAAAGTACTGGAGTTTCAGCTTCAACATCAGGCCCTCCAATGAACACCTAGGACTGATCTCCTTTAGAATGGACTGGTTCAAAATTGGGAAAGGAGCACGTCAAGGCTGTATACTATCACCCGGTTTATTTAATTTTTATGCAGAGTATATCATGTGAAATGCTGGGCTGGATGAATCACAAATTGAAATCAAGACTGCTGGGAGAAATATCAACAACCTCAGTTAAGAAGATGATACCATTCTAATGGCAGAAAGCAGAGGAACTAAAGAACCTCTTGATGAGGGTGAAAGAGGAGAGTGAAAAGCTGGCTTAAAACTCAATATTCGAAAAACTAAGATCATGGCATCCGGTCCCATCACTTTGTGGTAAATAGATGGGGAAAAGTGGAAACAGTGACAGATTTTCTTGGGCTCCAAAATCACTGTGGATAGTGACTGCAGCTATGAAATTAAACTTGCTCGTTGGAAGAAAAGCTATGACAAACCTAGACAGCATATTAAAAAGCAGAGACATCACTTTGCCAACAAAGGTCCATAAAGTCAAAGTTTCAGTTTTTCCCATAGTCATGTACAGATGTGAGAGTTGGACCATAAAGGAGGCTAAGTGCCAAAGAAGTGATGCTTTCTATTTTTGGTGCTGGAGAAGACTCTTGAGAGTCCCCTGGACAGCAAGGAGATCAAACCAGTCAATCCTAAAAAGGAAATCAACCGTGAATATTCATTGAAAGGACTGATGCTGAAGCTCCAAAACTTTGGCCACCTGAAGCTGAAGATGGAAAAGTCCCTGATGCTGGGCAAAACAAGGGGGCAGCAGAGGATGAGATGGTTAGATAACAGCACCAACTCAATGGACATGAATCTGAGCAAACTCCAGCAAATAGTGAAGGACAGGGAAGCCTGGCGTGCTGCAGTTCATGGAGTTGAAAAGGGTCGGACATGACTTAGTGACTGAACACCACCACCCATTCATGATAAAAACTCTCAGTGAACTAGCAAATAAAAGGGAACTTTCTCAACTTAAATTAGAAACTTTCCTACTAAGATAAGAAAGAAAAGATGTCTGCTCTCATCAATCCTTTTTGGCATCTTACTGGAAGTCCTAGTGAATGCAATAAAAGAAAATAAAAGTAATACAGATTTGAGAGCGAGAAATAAAACTATCTCTGTTCACAAATGACATGATCATCTAGGTAGAAAATGTCAAAGAATCCCCCCAAATCTTCTGGAACTAATAAACAAGCTGCAGAATACGAGGATAAAGTACAAAATTCAACAGTTTTCCTATGTATCAACAAAGAACAAGTGGAAAACACGATACCGTTTACATTATCACACCCCAAAAGTGAATACTTAAGTTATAAACCTAATATATACAAGACCTATATGGGGAAAATGAAAATACACTGATGAAAACAATTAAAGACCTAAATAAATGGAGAGGCAGTCAATGTTCATGAACAGGAAGACTCAATACAGTTAAGATGTCAGTTCTTCCCAACTTGATCTATAGATTCAATGCAAGTATAATCAAAATCCCTGCAAGTTATTCTGTGAATATGGATGAACTGATTCTCAAGACTATATAGAGACAGAATAGCCAACACATATTGAAAACGAACAAAGTTGGTGAGCTGACACTGCCCAAGTTCAAGACTTTCTTAAAAACCTACAGTAATCAAAACAGTGCAGTACTGTTACAAGAACAGACTAATAGGTCAAGGGAACAGACTAGAGAGCCCACAAATAAGATTCAAATAAAGCCAACTGATCTTTGACAAAGAAGCAAGGACAGTATCAGAGCAGAGAGTCTTCTCAAACAGTGCTGAAATAGCAGAACATCCGCATGCAAAAAAAAAAAAAAAATTACTCTAGACACAGACCTTCCAACATTCACATCAATTAATTCAAAATAGATCATAAACCAAAATGTAAAACTCAAAATTTTAAGAATCCTAAAAGATAACCTAAGAGAAAACCTAAATGACCTTAAATATGGCAATGACTTCTCAAGATACAAAATCAAAGGCATGATCCATGAAAGAAACCACTGATAGGCTGAACTTCATTAAAATAATAAACTTCTGCTTTGTGAAAAACAACATCAAGAGAATGAGCAGACAGACCACAAACTGGCAAAAAATATTTGCAAAAGACATGTTATCCAAAATATACAAAGAAGTCTGAAGACAACAGTAAAACAATCTGATTAGAAAATAGGCCAAAGACTTGAACAGATACCAAAGAAGATACACAGATGGCAAATAAGCACATGAAAAGATACACCACAACATGTCATCAGGGAAAGGCAAATTTAAACAAGATACTACTACACACCTATTAGAAAGGCCAAAATCCAGAAAATTGACAATGCTGACAAGGATGTAGAGCAGCAAGAACTCTCTTTCACTGCAAACTGGCACAGCCACTTTAGAAGAGTTTGGCAATTTCTTATAAACATAAACATACTGTCAACCAGGACTTCCCTGGTGGTCCAGTGGCTAAGACTCCACGTTTCCAACACAGGGGGACCAGGTTTGATCCCTGGTCAAGGAACCAGATCCCACATGCTGTAACTGAAGAGTTCAAATGCCATAACTAAAGATCTGGCATGCCACAACGAAGACGGAAGATCCCGTGTGCCATAACTAAGAACTGGAGCAGACAAATAAATAAATAAACAAAGAAATAAATAAATAAACATGCTATTACCATCCAGTCTTGGAACCATGATCCTTGGTATCTATCCAAATGAACATTAGACTTAGAAACAGATGTTCATGGCAGCTTTATTCGTAACTGCCAAAACTGAGATGCAACTAAGATGTCCTTCAAGAGGATGGATGAATAAATTAACTGATATAACCAAACAAAAAAATGTGCTATCAAGTCATGAATAGACATGAAGAAACTTTATATACATATTACTAAGTGAAAGAAGCCAAGTTGAAATGGCTACATCACTGTATGATTCCACATATACAACTTTCTAGACAAGGCAAAGCTATGCGACAACAAAAAGATCAGAGGTTTCCAGAGGCGAGGGGAACAGGAGATTAACGGGTAGAACATGGAGGATTTTTAAGGCAATGAAAATACTCTGTATGATACTATTATGGTGGATAGATGTCTTTACATTATTTGTCCAAACCCACAGAAAGTATATCACCAAGACTGAACCTTTATGCAATCTATGGACTTTGGGTGATTATGACATGCCAATATAAGTTCATCAATTATAAACAAATGCACCATTCTGGTGGTGGATGTTGATAATGGGAATGGCTATGTATGTGTGGGGACAGAAGTTGTAATAGGAAATATCTAAACTTTGCTCTCGATTTTGCTGCAAACCTAAAACTGCTCTTAAAAAAAAAAAGCCTTCAATAAAAATAAATAACACAAGTTCAAATTTTAAAAGTGCAACAGTGTATCATGTTATTTTAGCTTGTTTTTAGTCAGGAAATTTATGGATTAGGATGTCCATAGGGCAAAAAATTCTTATTTATTTAGCCATGCTGGGTCTTAGATGTGGCATGCATGATCTTTAGTGGGATCCTGCATGTGGGATCCAGTTCCCTGACAAGGGATTGAACCTGGACCTTCTGCACTGAAAGCATGGAGTCTTAGCCACTGAACCAGCAGGTAAGTCCCAGGAAATTCTTACATACTAGACATAAATTAGTTTACTTTCAATTTCTTCTGAGCCTCATTGGGTAAGTCTTGTTTCAGTTATGATTTGGGGGTCATTCTTTTCCCTTCTCCAATTAATCAAGAGTTATCTATATATACTGTATATGAACTATATTTTAATATTTTTTAAATTCTGTCTATATATTAACAAGGAATAGACATGCATGATTAACAAAAGTCTAAATCTAAAATCTAAGGTTCCCACTGGGATAAGTCATCTAGTTTGCCTACAATTCTAGATTGTGAACCCAACTGATATTCATTACAGAAAAATGAACTATCAATTTGCAGAATGGAAAAGCAACTATCACTTCACAAATGTGGGGTATTTTATAGTGGCTTGCATTATCAGTAATACCTAAAGTCACAAGTCCACATAACCAACATTTTAAATTCAAATCTTCCTTTTATCTCTAAGAACAGAAAATTGTTTTTACCTACCTTTCAGAAACCTCTTGCTTCAACTGAGGGACTTCACCAAGTGCTGAATCAATATCCATGAAACCAAGAATATCTCGCTTTATATTAAGGGAAGGCTTCTCCAAACCCTTGCCTGATGTTTCCTGACCCCTTGATAAAGGATCCAAATCTGTTAGCTGCATCTCTGACCCCTCACCTTCTGTAAGACGGACCCGTTGACCAGGAGAACTGGGAACACTGTTCCCTTCTTGGTCAGAGCTGTTCTTTTGTTTTCCATCTCTCTGGGGCTTACTATTCAGGCCATCATCCCGGAAGCCTTTAGCAAATGGATTGTAATCTATTTTCAACTGGGTAATTTGAATGTTTTGATAAGCTGTTACTGCAAAGAATTCAGTCTGTGGGAAGGTAAAAGTGTGGACACCAGGGCCATTTAATTGTATCACTTCAGTAGCCTTTTCTGCAGGCACCAAGTGAAGCCGTGGCAAGTAGCGATGCATAGAGTGCAAGATAATATGGCCTTCTTGGTCCAGCGTATTGTTTGTAAGTTTGAGTTTGTAGAAAGACACTGGCTGATGCATCCAATAGTGGCCTGTGGAAGGAGACTCCGGATGGATAAAAACCCTCCCCACTACATGCGGCTCAGCCTTCCCGCTGGGCTCCCACCAGCGGCCGTTCCACTTGTAACGGTGATTATCCACAGGGGATATATCCATGACAAGGATGTATTTCATATTTGAATCTAAACCTGTTATCCAGTAACGACAGTAAGGAAACATGCGTCTTCCCTGCTTCGTCAGAATCATCTCTGTGCTTCGATGATAGAATTCGTTCCACATACTATTGTTATCCAAGGTGACAGTGATTCCTCCTACAGTACAATCAGCTGGAAGGCAAATCTTTCCTTTAGATTTTTCTGGTGATGACACACTGCTAGCCAAAGCACAGGCATCCCGATTAGTAACCAAAATTCCTTGATCAGTTTTGCCATTTCCTGGCTGTTTCAGGATGACAAAGAAGGTAGGTGCTGCTCCTGGTACTGTCCCGCCATCTTGATTAGCCAATATAATCTGCTGTTTCTCCTCCATGATTCCAGTGGGAAAATCAGTAGTAAGATAATTGTAGTTACCACATAATCACAATGGCCTTCCCAGCCTAAAAAAAATAACACAACACTTTAATCAAATGAACATTTACTTTATTAACAAAAATGTAAGAATGATTATGTTATCCCAAAATACATTCCTAAATTCTTCTAAGATTTGGCTTCTACTTTTCTCTCAGTTGCTGTAAGGATATGCATTCTGGAATATTTGATTATCTATTTTAAAGTTCATTTTAATCTAATTAAGTTACTCATATCCCAATCCTTCAATAATTCACTATACATGCAATAACCTCACATAAAAAGTATTCATTTTAGAAAAACTATATGAATATATAAAAGTATACAGACTTAAGACGACTAAATTGTAAAGTCATCTGCATTCCAAAAGAACCCCAATAATTTATGAATTAATTTGAGAGGATTCTGTTACAAGCACATTCTCCTGAGTAAAAATTAACAAATTTCCATGTTATCACTGTACAGAGAATCACCTCTTTTATTAGAGTACTGGCATGAGTTGATACATAAGTAAAATGCTATTTAACTTATTAGTACATGAAAGCGAAAGTGTCAGTCGCTCAGTTGTATCTGACTCATTGGGAACCCATGGACTGTAGCCCACCAGGCACCTCTGTCCATGGGATTCTCTAGGCAAGAATACTGGAGTGGGTTGCCATTACCTTTTCTAGGGGATCTTCCCAACCTAGGGATGGAACCTGGGTCTCCTGCATTGCAGGTGGTTTCTTTATGAACTGAGCCATCAAGGAAGCCCTGTTAGTACATACATTTAAAGAAAACATGACAAAACACCAGAACTTACTGGAAAAAGAAATAGGTGGCTCCACAACTCAGACCTTACACTGAAAAAATTCCAACAGACCAAACACTTAAATCCCACCCCCTACTCCCAAATCAGTGTAATTTTTTTTTAATTCTTAAAGAAATCTTGAAAAAAGATTTTTGATAATAAGTAGTACACAAAACCTAGAAGTTAATAAGACAACAAAATTTTTGATAAATTCAGAATCATGTAAATTTGTTTTTAATATGACAAAAACTATCCATGCAAGATTTAAAAAATGACTAACTGGAAAACAGTACCTGAAACATATCATAAAGAACTCATTTCCCTAATATAAAAAGGAATTTTATACAAATTGAAAAAACAAAAAATCTAATAACAAAATGGACAAAGGACAGGAATTGCAAATGGTTAAGAAAATGTACACAGTCACAGAACAGAAGGAATTAAAGTCATCCTAAGATACTGCTTTTTACCCTAGCAGAATGACAAAAATCAAAGTCTGTCAAAGGTGCTGGAAAAGGTGTGTGTCAACCAGCATTCTCATCTAATCAGCCACTCAGAGTGTAAGATGACAGAATCTCAGAGGATAGTATGAAAATATAAAAAGTAAGACGAATGGATAAGGAAGCTGTGGTACATATACACCACGGAATATTACTCAGCCATTAAAAAGAATTCATTTAACAGATCACCAGCCCAGGTTGGATGCATGAGACAAGTGCTCGGGCCTGGTGCACTGGGAAGACCCAGAGGGATCGGGTGGAGAAGGAGGTGGGAGGGGGAATCAGGATGGGGAATACATGTAAATCCATGGCTGATTCATGTCAATGTATGGTAAAAACCACTACAATATTGTAAAATACTTAGCCTCCAACTAATAAAAATAAATAGAAAAAAAAAGAAAATATCAAAAGTAGAAACACATACATCCCAGGAAACAATGGTTCTTCTAGGACTTTATCTTACATACCTATGTGCAAACACACATCCACACCTGTAACACATGGTGGTACTATGAAAGAGTGGGATATTCTGCAGCTAGAAAAAGAATTATAAATCTTATAGACAAATTAACATTATCTAAAAGATAAAAAAGGGCATAAAGTTCAAAAGAGTTATAGATTATGCTATATACTTCTCTAAGTTTAAACAAAGAAAAAGCCAAAGAAAGAAAAGAATATGTATGTATTTGCCTGACACAGACTACCTGCAAAGACAGAGGAGGAACTGGTAGTATTGACTTTATTAAGCAAAAACAGGGTGGCTGGAAAAATACTCTTGACACTTTCTAAATTTTTTATCTCATGACCGTACAACCTACCCCCTCCCAAAAAAAGAAATCTTAAATTAGTTAATTCATAAAAGTTACACAAAAAAACCGCATATACTGTATGATTCCATTTATAAGAAATGTTCAGAATAGGCAAATCTATAAAGGAGATCAGTGGTTGAAGTGAAAAGGGAGAGGGTTAATTAGAACAATTGTTAACAGTTTGGGGTTTTCTATAAGAGTGATGGAAATGTTCAGGAACTAAAAACTAGTTACTGTATCCTTTAAAATGTTGAATTTTGGGACTCCCTGCTCGTCCAGTGGTTAAGACACCACACTTCCAATGCAGGGGGCCTGGGCTCAATCCCTGGTCAGGGAACTAGATCCCACACGCTGCAACCAAGAGCCCACATGCCAGCAACTGAAGACCCCGCATGCTGCAACTAAGACCTGGTATAGTCAAATAAACATATAAATGTTTTAAATAGTTAATTTTTATGTGAATTATATCTCAATAAACCATTATAAAGAAATCTCAGGTTGTTACATTCAACTGAAGTGATATGCAAAAATAAATTACCTAAATATTCTACAAAATATAAAGATCACCTTCAATTAGCTTTTATACAAAAAAGGAAAATAAAAAAAAATTTTAAAAAAGGAAGATACTGTTATCACTAGGCTTCCCAGGTGGCGCTAGGGGTAAAGAATCCACCTACCAATGTAGGAGACATAAGAGACACAGGTTTGATCCCTGGGCTGGGAAGATCTCCTAGAGAAGGGCATGGCAACTCACTCCAGTGTTCTTACCTGTTGGAGAATCCCATCGACAAAGGAGCCTGGCAGGCTACAGTCCATAGGGTCACAAAGAGTCAAACACAACTGAAGCAACTTAGCACACACACATACTCTTGTTTAACTGGGTCAGTAATTTCTGACTAATCAAACTGAGCCACTTACTGGTGTTCCTCTTTTTAATTAAAAGTCTAATTTTACTTTTCATCAGAGCTACTGACAAGCAAAAGCATCTGATCTGAATTTTACATCTTTCAGGATTGGCCACATGATCCCCCCAAAAAAGTAGGGGGGGCTCCAAAACTTAAAATATTCATTATCTTCAGGATAATACTTTAAATATCAACACTTCAAAAAAGGTTGGTTATTGTTTCTGACCATGGCTAGATATGATATAGAAACCCTACTTTCTAACACTAAAGCACTAATACTTAGGAAAGGTAAAAAAAAAAACCTCTCCTCTGATTTGGAGTTTAAGAGATAGATAAAATTTACAATGATTCTTTTCAAAAGCTTCCTCAGGCTTAAGGCAATTAAGTTTATTGATTTCCTAAAACTAGTTAAAATAACATCTATCAGAGACTGATAAGACAAAATTTAAACAGACTTATAAGTCACAAATACAATGACTTTTATAAAAACAGTAAAGTTCAGAAAGTTCATAAAAACCAATACCTCCAAAACGGTGTATAACTGGTCAAAAAGGCCATCATCAAAATATCTACAAACAATAAATACTGGAAAGGATGTGGAGAAAAGGGAACCCTCTTGCACTATTGGTGGGAATGTAAACTAATACAGCCACTATGGAGAACAGTACAGGGATTCATTAAAAAACTAGGAATAAAATTACCACTGTTGTTGTTCAGTCACCTAGTCATATCTGATTCGTTGCAACCCCACGGACTGCAGCACTCCAGGCCTCTCTGTCCCTCAACATCTCCGGAAGTTTGCCCAAGTTCATGTCCATTCCATCGGTGAGGCCATCCAGCCACCTCATCCTCTAACGCCATCTTCTTCTGCCCTCAATCTCTCCCAGCATCAGGGACTTTTCCAGTGAGTCGGCTACTCACATCAGGTGACCAAAATACTAGAGCTTCAGCTTCAGTATCAGTCCTTCCAATGAGTATTCAGGGTTGATTTCCCTTAAGATTGACTGGTTTGCTCTCCCTGCTGTCCAACCATTATGACCTAGCAATCCCACTACTGGGCATATACCCTTAGAAAACTAATTCAAAAAGACACATGTACCCCAATGTTCACTGCAGCACTATTTACAATAGAGAGAACACGGAAGCAACCTAGATATCCATCAACAAAAAAACAGATAAAGAAGTTGTGGTACATACATGTGGAATATTACTCAGACATAAAAAGGAAGCAACGTCAGTTGAACTGATGCAGATGAACCTAGAATCGGTCAAACAGATAAAGAAGTTGTGGTAGATACGTACAATGGAATATTACTCAGCCATAAAAAGTAACAAATGTCAACTGAACTGAGGGGAATGAACCTAGAGCCTGTCAAACAGAGTAAAGTAAGTCAGGAGAAAAATATCATATATTAATGCATATATACAGAATCTAGAAAAATGGCACTAGTGAACCTATTTGCAGGACAGGAATACGTAGAGAGATGCAGATATGGAGAATGGACTTGTGGCAGTGGGGGGGGGGGGGAGACAAGAAGTGAAAGCGAAGCACTGACATATATACAGTACCATGTGTAAAATAAGATAGCTGGGGGAAGCTGCTATAAAACACAGGGAAACCAGCCCAAAGTTCTGCATCAACCTACAGGAGTGAGATGGGGGGAGGTGCTCAAGAGGGAGAAGATATATATATACCTATGGCTGATTAGGATTATTATAGAAAAAAAAAAAAGGATTATTGTATGACAAACCAACACAACACTGTAAGGCAATTATCCTCCAACTAAATAAAACAAAGCTAAAAACATAAAATTAAACTGTATACAAATCAAATAACACAAACTCCTAATCTTGTACTTAGTCCTTAAAGTTCAGTTTTGTTACAAATCAAGTATTTTTGTAAGCAATTATGCAAAAACACACTTATGAAGTGCATTTAAGACAGGCAGCAAAGAACT